AACGGTTATCTAAGTAGAAAATCCCAAGAAATGTAAAAGGATATGGAGAAAAAAACTATTGAATCTAATAACTTAAGTGTTCAGGAAGGTCACTGCATATAAAATCAAAATAAAATAGTCAGGAAAAAAACAAAGAAAACAATACCTAATCCATAATACCTTCAAAAAAAATTAAACCACTGGGACCCAACCCAGGAAGTAAAAAACCTCTATAAACAAAAACTACAGTTCAGTTTTAAAAAAAAGATGGATGAGAGTAGCAAAAAATGGAAATAATGTCTATCCCGTTCCTCAATTGATAGAATCAATACGGTGAAAATGATCACACTACTGATACACAGATTCAATGTTATCACCATCAAAATGCCAACAATTTTGTTCACAGAACCAGAAAAAACAATTCTTACATTTGTATGGAACCAGACATCCAAAAGACAAAAGTAATAAGGGCAAAGCAGGAGGCAGTATAACCCCAGACTTTCAAGTTATGTTACAAAGCTACAGTGACATAAATAGCATGGAACCTCCATAGCATAAAAACAGACACATATTTTGAAACTCTGTATTGTTTCTAATTCTTTTTATTATTTTTTACTTTCTTTAAAATAAAAAGAAACTTTTAAAAAAGACAGGTATATCAATGGAAAAGAACAGAGGATGCTACCACAGATGTAGTGGTACATGCCTGCAATCCCACCACTCTGGAGGCTGAGGCATGAAGATCACCATGAGTTTCAGGTTAGCCTTGGTTACACAGTGAGTTCAAGGCCAGCCTAAACCACATAGTGAGACCCTGTGTAAAACAAAAACATCCCAAATATGAAAGTAAACTTCTTATGATGTGAATATATACTCATAAAAGATTTTAAAAAGTCTATTCACAATATTTTCACAAACTTATTCATAAGCTCTTTTTCCTGCTCCATAGTTCTATGCATCTTTCACCTTTGATAATTACAATAAATATTTTTATATTTAAAAATAAATAAATAAATAAATAAAACAAAAACAAAGCACCACCAGCAAACAACAGAAAGAGGATGCAAAAATAACCAGACATTCAACCATCTGATCTTTGACAAAGGGGCTAAAAACATATGCTAGGGGAAAAGATCTTCTTTAACAAATGGTACTAAAATCAAATCCATGCAAGCAGGCACAGAGGCCGGGGGCTCAATCCCTGCGCCTGCTCTGCCGAACTCACCCCCAGGGCACACTGAGAGAGCAACTGAGACTGGGCATGATGGCCCACACCTGTAATCCCAGCTCTTGGGAGGCTGTAAACAGGCGGATCACTATTAGTCCGATCTAGTACTGAGACCCTGAACACCCTGTAGACCCTTCCCTAAAAAAAATACAAAAATAAATAAATAAATAAAATCTAAATGGATCAAAGCCCATTAAAGCAGAAACAATCCAGGAATTTGAGACTAGCCTGGGGAACATATTGAGATACCATCTCAAAAAAAAAAAAAAAGGGTAGTGGGCAGCAAGATAGCTCAGCAGACTAAAGCACCATATGCCATCCCAAAAGCAAGTGAAACATGAGATCTCACATATCCAATCTATCACAACAACTTGAATAAGTTTGGGAATGTATTTTTCTACAGAACATCCAGAAAGGGGCAGTCTTACTGACACCTTAACTTTTGTCTTGTGATACCTAAAATAAGCCTAACAAAACATATCACACTGATCTATGAGATAATAAATTGGAGTTGCTGTAAGCTGCTAACTTTATGATCATTTCCAACACAAAATCCACTGAACTACTGATGAAAAAATACCTTAAGTTATTTCAACATGCTCTTCATCCCCTTACTTATTAAGTCACAAAGGAATAAATGAATTTGTTTAAATCAATCTAACGAGCAAGTACAAGAAAATTACCTAAGTGACATCACCAATAAAGAAACTAGTCATATCAATCAGGTCACATACTTTGAGATAAGATATACTCACTGAGAACACAATACCATTTTATATAGTATTCTTGTCAAAAATATACATCCTGAATCTAACCTTAAATATACAGACAATTAACATTAAGGGCCAATCCACAAATAGACCTGTAAATTTCAAAAACTTCATGTTCCCAACACATAAGAGAAAACTGTGTAAATTTAATATTGTTTAGTAAGTTTTAAAATTGTTACATTTTTAAGAACACAGACACATGTCGACTATATGCAATCATAAACTAGATTCTGGACTTAACAGATAACATTCTGTATTTAATTTTACCCATCTGTTCACCCTTCTCATTGTTATTTTTCATTTTCTATCTTTTGGTATTCGTATTTCAAACAGTTTTCTTTCTAATTTCAGGAAATCCCTAATTTTCTTTCTTTTTTTTTTTTCATACCAGGAATCAAACTTGGGACCTTGTGCTTGACAGACAGGTACTTGTATCTGGTAAGCTACCCCAGCCAAAACCCCAGCCCAGAAAATTCATAATTTCTTCTAAAACACTGTAGAAGTACTCACATCAAGTTCTCCGTTGTTTACAAAAGTTTTGGAGATTCAGCCCAGCCCAGACCCGGCAAGCGTGTGGGAGAGCTTCCGGCCTCCCTGCACCCGCGGTACTCCTCCAGACCAAAACTCAGGCACCCGCGTGAGTAAGACCCTCTACCGCGCCCTGAGGACCCCTGCAACCCGCCGGCGCCCCCGCCCCCAAGCTCACCGAGTGAGATCTTCTGCGATGCTCTCAGGACCCCCAGATCCAGCCCTGCCCAGGCCCGGCGAGCGTGTGGGAAAGCTTCCGGCCTTCCTGTCCCCGCGGGACCCCTCCAGACCAAAACTCAGGCACCCGAGTGAGACCTTCCATCGCTCCCTCAGGACCCCTGCAACCCTCCGGAGACCCCGCCCCCAAGCGCGCCGAGTGAGTGAGATCTTCCGCGACGATCTGGGGACCCCCCAGATCCAGCCCAGCCCAGCCCAGGCCCCGGGAGCGTGTGGGAGAGCTTCCGGTTTCCCTGCCCCCGCGGAACCCCCTCCAGACCAAAACTCAGGCACGCCCATGAGTGAGACCCTGTATCGCACCCTCAGGACCCCTGCAACCCTCCAGAGCCCCCGCCCCCAACCCCACCCAGTGAGTGAGAACTTCTGCGAGTCTCTCAGGACCCCCAGCTCCAGCCCAGCCCAGGCCGGAAGCCTGTGGGAGAGCTTCTGGGCTCCCCTGTGCTCCCTGAGCCAGGAGCACAAAAGAGGCGCAGCACAGGTTCACTTCCAACGGCTGCAGCAAAAGGAGCTGAACACAACAGCTAGACCCAGGCCAGGCATAACTAGATAAACTCAAACTTAATAGATTTGCACACGAATTTCAGTAGGTGCTACTAAGGTTATAGCTGCACCAAAGCTCTACACCGAAGGTCAGAGGTCAGGGCTATACGAAATGACAAAGACAAGAAGCAAAATGCAATCTCAAGCCTCGAGCCCACCCAGAACAGGTGCAGAGGACACTAGCTCAGCTGAAATGAATGAATTAACAGCGTCGGAAGTAAATAAACAACAGCAGAAAGGTATAGAGGATCTCAGATCAGAATTAATCTCTGAAATAAAAAAAGAAATCTCTGAATTCATAGCATCTGAAGAATCTAATACAGAAACATATGGGGGAAACCTAATGCCCACCCAGAACAAGTGCAGAGGACACTAGCTCTGCTGAAATGTATGAATTAACAGCGTCACAAGTAAAGAAACAACAGCAGAAAGGTAGAGAGGAACTCAGAGCAGAATTAATTTCTGAAATAAAAAAAAATCTCTGAATTCATACCATCTAAAGTAAAGAATCAAATACAGAAACATATGGAGAAAACCCAATCTGAAAAAAAAACTCTGTAGTAAAAGAATAACTGCTTATAAAGAAAACATTGATAAAAAAAAGTTCTCCGTTTTCTGTTTGTCTGGAGGTATCTTTCTTCCATCCTAATTGTTTCTTGTTTTTCTTTGTGATTTTTGAGTCTCACTATGTAGTTCATTCAGCACTTGAACTCAAATTGACCCTACTGCTTCAGCCTCCCAAGTGCTGGGATTACAGGTATTGTGCCACCACACTCAGCTCCATCATTTTTAAAAGATGTTTTCACTGAATACAGAATTATAAATTTCAATTATTTTCATTTCGGACTTCTAAAGAAAACAGTTCATTATCATCTGCTTTCTATCATTTCTGATGTTAAATGAGTCATCAATATTACTATTATTCCTTTAGAAGAAATATCTTTTTCTCCCCTCACTATTCACAAGATTTTCTCTTGGCCTTTGCTCTTTAGGTGTTTGATTATGACAAGATTAGTTCCAAGGTTTTTTGGTGGGGTTTTTTTGCCTTGCTTGGGATTCATAGAATTTCTTCAGCCTGTAACTAAATGACTTTCACCATTTCTAGAAAATATTTAGCCAATATCTCTTCTAATTCAAATTCTAACCCATTCTCTTTTCTCCTTTGGAAATTCTAATCATATGTATGGTTGAACTTTTCACTGTGATTTAACCTTACATTTTTTTCTATATATCTTGTATGTGTTTTTATATTAAGCTCTATATATGTAGCTACTTCAAAATGGTACTCACACAATAACAAGATTTTTTTAAACAAAAAAGGAGAAAGGAAGTCTTAAGTGTGTTTTATTTCATTACTAAGTCTACTCAGAGATATTATCCAACACATAAAAATTTACTTCCTAGTACACAAGTAGCTACTAAAATAAGTATTTCTATACTACTACCATCTTTAATACTATCTATTCATCATGATTAACATTTGATTAACATTCATTATTCACCATCTCCTCCCTACCAGACATTTCCATTATACACAAAACCACATGAAGTGCTTCCATCTCTAAGTTCCCACAAACTTACATTTTTACTTATCAAAATTAAAATCTCTTAGATACAGGAGTTTCCATGAAAAGTACTAATTTCATTTTCCAAAAATTGAAAGCCTTGATTTCCTCCAAAAACTGGCCAAAGAAACAGCAGATTCTTTTTCAATTTACCTGTGCTTTGGCTCATCACAAGTCGTGGAGGAGAACTTGTTTCTTCAGACTCTTCTGATGAATGTGCCAGGAAGTCATGAAGCTTCTGCACCAATGTATTCAACTTGCTTTCACTACCAGACAAAAAATCAAATACAAATATTTAATGAACTAGAATTCTTTCAACACTGAGATATGTATATTCAAAGTAAAAATTAAACAGATTCAATTTTATTTCGCCAAGGACTAAAGATAAGAGTAACATATCTAAATTGCATATTTGCGTAGGATCAAAATATCATTTAAGAAAAATGCTGGCATTACTTACTCAATTATTTCCAAGGCTTTATTATCTTTCAATGTTTCAATCTGTATCTGATATGTTTAAAAAGAAGTTAAACTTTTACTTTGCATTAAATTATTTAAAATGTAACACTAAATACCAATTTTAACCAAGCTTTTAAGAAAAACTAAACCTACTTACTGTAAGAGTATGAAAAGGGGGCCGGGGAGATAGCTCAGTAGAATAAGCGCTTGCCTGGCAAGTGCAAGGTCCTGAGTTCAATCCCTAGTACCGCAAAAAAAAAGTAAGAAAAGAAACAAAATCTGGGGGCTAAAAGGCAAAAGAAAATGTACCTGTATTTGGGGTCAATCATCTTTCACAATCAATAGCAGTACATATCTAGTCATATTATCAGTAAGTATTTTTGTTCTTATTTTGTCTCATTTGTATAGAAGTTCTACTTAGAAAACCCTTAGAAATCAAAACACAGGCATGGTGGTGTTTGCCTGTACTCCTATTACTGGAGGCTAATGTAGGAGGATCACAAGTTCTTGCCCAACCTGGTGCCTCAAAATAAACACATAAATAAGAGCGGCAGGAAATGTACTTCAGTGTGAATATCCTTGGCTGAATTCCCAGTATCACAGAAGAAAGAAATCAAAATATTAAGTAGTATTACCTTTTCAAGAAGATTTAAACTTTCTAACACTAAAAAGAAAAAAGAACATTTTTTTTCCTTCAGATAAAGTTTGGAGAGTGTGCCATTTTGTGAGACTTGTATAACCCACCCACAGAAGACACTGTTAGGACAGCTGCCACTTGGGGCCTAGTCTACCACCATAAACTTGAACCTTGTAATTGTTCTGCCAAGACTCAGTGCCTGGAGATAACAATATTTGCTGGGAAGGGGTAGGAGTCTGCCTGGACCTGGGTATCCTGAACTGCAAGCTACAAAAAGACTGAGAGGGCTACAGAAATGCTAGGAGAGGTGAGCACCAGGGCCAGAGAAAGGGGTACAAGTTACTCTAGCTGGGAGTGACATCTTCAGCCGTTGGTGCCACTGAAACCAGCAACCAGAGAAAAACTGAGCTGAGCTACAATACACAAATGAGCTGGGAACAGCAAGAGCAGAGAGAGGTGGCTAAGGTCATACCAACTGTTGTGTCTCCCAACTGGGCATCACGATAAACACAAGTCAAAGAAAGAGTGAATTGGGGTACAGCTAAGAGGGTGTATACTGGCAACACAAAAAGGTAACTGGGGTGGCAAAGAGGGAGGGGAGTAGCACAAGTGCCCCACTTTCTTCATGAGGAACACTAGACTCCTGATGACGACAGACTGAAGGCAGAACCGGTGATAAGTCATTCTGGAATACTGATCTTGATCTTAACCAACAGCAAAAAATAATGACAGCCCACATTATAAATACAACCACAAGGCGGTGTAGTTGTACAGACTTTTTTTTTTTCTTTTTTTTTCCTCTTTTGTTGGGTCTTTGCTTGGTTTGGTTAGGTTTTGTGTATGTCAGTATATATGCACCATGCAAGCACATACATGCACAGATACATAGTGATTGAAAAATAAAGTGCATTTCTAAAATCCCAGGGCCAGCAAGACAGCTCAGCAGACTAAGAGCCTGCTTAGGCAAGCTCAGGGACCAGGGTTCAATCCCCAGCATCATATGCCATGCCGACCCCAGGTACACTGAGCCATCCCCTGAGTCTGGGTGTAGTGGCGCATGTCTGTAATTCCAAAACTGGAAAGGCTAAAAGCAAGAGGATCACTAAGAGTGAGAGCTGCATAGTAAGACCCTGTACCAAATACATAAAAATAAATGCAAAAAAATTAAATTAAAAAAAGCCATGTGTGGTGGTATGCACCTGTATTTCCAGCACTCAGGAGGCTGAGGCAGGAAAACCACAGGCAACCTGGGCTACACAGTGAGTCTGAGACCAGCCTGAACTACATAGTAAGACCCTGTCTCAAAAAAAGAGAAGTGTTTAATGCATTCCCACTGGCTTGAACCACCAGTAGTATATGCATGATTGTCCCACTGGGCAAGTCCCACTGGTAGTACAAATGGATCTCATCATTTTTATCAGTCTACTAATAAAATTAATTCAAAGTCTATAAATGAAACAAATTACTTGAAATTGAATAATTGCTGAACAAATATAAATTTTACTACTGTTCATAACAATTTTTAAGATTGTAATTAAACATTTCATTTAAAAATGTAGGGGGCTGGGGAGATAGCTCAGTACAGTAAGTGTTTGCCTAGCAAGCACAAGGACCTGAGTTCAATCCCCGGTTCTGGAAAAAAAATGTATTTATTGGGGCTGGGGAGATGGCTCAGTGGAATAAGCGCTTCCCTGGCAAGCGCAAGGGTCTGAGTTCAATCCCCGGTTCTGAAAAAAAAAAAAAAGAAAAAAGGATTCATAAATAGTTTATCAATGATTCTCTAAACTTCAACATGGAAATCTAAGTATCCCATTGCCAGTGTATATGCTATGTATATACAACTGCTGTAACACACATAAATTGTTTTATGATTTTTATGTCATTTTAAATATGCTTTAAGAAACCGTAATACGGAGCCAGGGAGATGGCTCAGTGGAATAAGTGCTTCCCTGACAAGCACAAGGGCCTGAGTTCAATCCCCAATTCTGCCAAAAAAAAAAAAGAAAAAAGAAAGAAACCCTAATATGATAACACATGGTCTGCTAAATCAGTGTCTTTCTTTGCATGGCTGTAAGTGCAAGCCTCCCAAGGCGAGTCACACACGTACCACCAATGGTTCAAACTGGCAGGAACAATCAAATCCAAATTAGAGCCAAGCTGTGTGAGTTACAATCCCATTGTAAACATGTTAAAATAAAAAACGTATTGCAGTAAAAGACAATTCCTATCAATCTCCCTCAAAAAAATTCTCATTTCCACCATACACCAACACCCTTACCACTTTCTAATGCAGTTCTGAAAGTCTTCTTTCATGAATGTCCTTCATTACACAAATGTTATAGATCAACTGAAATCCTTTACCATACATGGTCATTTTGATGTTGGGGAAGACTCAGAAGTCACTTAATGCCAGATATGGTGAATAAGGTGGCTGAAAAGATATGAAAATGAGGAGCTGAGAAGATGGCTCAGTAGAATAAGCGCTTGCCTGGCAAGTGTAAGGGCCCGAGTTCAATCCCCAGTTCCGCCAAAAAAAAAAGAAGATACGAAAATGTTTTACTGAGCCTGATCTTCTGTGGGATGGCACTCAGCAATAGTCTGTATGGTGTTTTTAATCACACCTTGTGAAGACACTCATTAAAGATGTGTTCAGGGACTGGTGAGATGGCTCAGTGGTCTAAAGCACCTACTTAGAACAAGCTTAGCAAAGCACAGGGACCGCGGTTCAATCCCCCAGCACCTCAGCCAGCCAGCCCCGCCCCCTGGTGGGCTGAGCTGGCCACACACACACACACACACACACACACAAATAAATAAATAAATAAAATTTAAAAAAAAAAAAGATGTGTTCAAAGTGAGAGTGAGGGGCTGGGGAGATAGCTCAGTAGAATAAGCAAGAGGGTCCAGAGTTCAATCCCTGGTACCACACACACAAAAAAAATCAGGGACCAGGGAGACGGCTCAGTAGAATAAGTGCTTGCTTGGCAAGCGCCAGGGCCTGAGTTCACTCCCCGGTTCCACCAAAAAAAAAAAGTGAGAGCATTTTGTGAGAGATTAATGGCAAGTGTCTTTTACTGTAATAGCTTTTTAATTTAAACATTGCATTTTTTTATTCATGTGTGTATATGGCTTCCATTTTAATTGTTCAGGTTACTGGTTGTTACTCTCTCCTCTCAAAGCAGTGCTAGGTGCTAGGGACTGACCATAGCATATGGAACATACTGGGTGCTTTCACATTAGACATACATGTCCTAGACATAGTGCAGGGCATACCACAAAGAGAAAGCCAGAGATTTAAAATACTCCCATATAATGGTGATCTACTCCAGCTGATCTGCAAACATCAAAATAAAAACACAGTAACTATGGAGAATAAGGTAATAAAATGGCTGTATATATTTGTAACTCCCTACAACTGATCTCTGAGACACTGAAGTAAATGAAAATCCAGCTAAAGAATTCAAAAGTCTGCCTGGTGTGGTGATGCACATCTGTAATCCCAGCACTCAAGGTGGCTGAAGCAGGAGGATCACTGTTGAGATTGAGGCTAGCATGGGATACATGGGAAGTTCAAAGACAGCCTAAAACTGTATAGTGAGACCGTCTCAAAAAAAAAAAAAGGAAAAAGAATTCAAAAGAGAGTTAAAGTAATCAATGAGATCAAAAAAGAAAAATAAGCAGCCATAATAATTAAGGCAATCACAAGATATAAAGTCCTCTTCAGTAAAGAGACAGAGGTTATGGGAAAGAATTAAGCAGAAATCCTAAAAATGAAAACTTTAATCAGTCAACTAACTATAAAACTCAACAGACAATTCAGAGTAGGAAAAATGAATCAGAAGAACTATCAGGACTTGAAAACAAAATGGAAAACTCAGACAATGATAGAAAGAATAAGAAATAATAAGCAAATTATTCAGGAGCTCTTGGATAACAATGAAGAACTAAATTCAAAACAAATACACCTTGGGCCGGGGAGATAGCTCAGTGGAATAAGCACTTGCCTGGCAAGCACAGGAGCCTGAGTTCAATCTCCGGTTCCACAAAAAAAAAAAAAAAAAAAAAAAAAATCCCACACACACACACATACCTTGAGGACAATGAAGAAATACAGAACAAAGGTACAGAAAAATCTGTTCACTGAATTATTGCAGATAACTTGCCAAATCT